TCAATCTTAAAACCTTGAACGTCTACTATGGCAATCATGATATCTTGCGTACGATATTACTTAAAGGTTTATACTCTATAAGACGGTCATTTATAATGAGACAATATGCAGACGTACTTGCTGGAATATCTTCAGTACTTTCAATTTCTAATCGCACATCGACTGGTCCAGTTTTCAAAGTCTCGTTCTGTCTCGAGCAATCAATGATAAACAATGGCGCCTTTTCTTTAAAAGTATGCAGATCTAACAGGGGGTCCATATGAATGTTGTAATAAGACTGACGAAATTGAGTGTACATTTCGTATAATATACCATATTTATCTTCATCAAAGTTTAAGTTCAGTGATTCGTATGGATAGTAATTGGAGTTCAAAAATAATGTTACTCTAGATATTTTGCAATGATCGAATACAGAACAATCTTTTGCTTTATTAAACTTTCTATCAGTTTGCAGACCAAAGATAACATATCGTGGTTTCTCTGTCTGTGAAGCCGTTTTAACAGACCAAGAATGTTTTGTTGTTTTAGGTAACAACGGATACTCATACAGATCCCAATTTCTAAAAGCAATTTGAATTGGTTTATCTTTTTCTAAATATTTGAGTAATGTAAGTTTCTCGCGATCTGATACTTTTACGTGAGGCATTCGCCACTGCACTCTTTGTAAGTCTATTTTTACATGAGAAAAATCATCTGAAAGTTTGATACTGTTTAGGTTTGTGTTGCTCCTGTTCAGTATTAGTTCATGTTTACAGTTCATAATTATTTTGTTATAATCTTCTGCAAATCCAAGTATTTTGTTTAAGGGTATAACAACGCTGAAATGACCATCGTTTGTAAATCCATTTATGTTCCAACCCCACAGAGCTGCAACCTTACTTTCCCCTCCGCTCATTGATACCAATGATTTCATTGTGGTCGTTACTCCAGCGTTTTTTATGCGATCGATTTCAATCCCATTTATTTCATACCTGATGTCTTGGAACAGAAACATAAAAGGGTTATTAGTAAATTCCACATGTCTTTTGACCGACTTGTTGTCCTTTCCGATGATGGTTGCATATCCTTCGATGTAGATGGTACTGGCTGAAGGCAATAGATACAAATCTTGCTGATGAATGGGGATTCGTATTTCGTCATTTTCCGCGAAACTATTATTATATGGATTATAGGTGTGTATTTCGTAATTTTCAATTGAGTTATCGAACTGAGGTAAACTTGTAACTTGAAGTATATTCATATTTTAAAACCAAGTGATCGAAGAAATTCTTTGTTCTGTTTTGTTATTTTCTTAACACCTTTAACACGTCTGCGCTTTTTAGCAATACAAGTATCAATGCTTTTAGCATTATTATTAAGAGGTTTATAAAATACAATCATTTTATTTTTCTTAAATGGAGGCGCAGTTGAATATTTTCTCCTCTGAAGTCAATATTATTACCGTCTTCATCAACAACTTTTATAGCTATAGATGTTATGTTTTTTTTGTTTATTGGTAAATAAATTATATTTTTGGGTACCTCTATGTATCGATAACCAGGCGGTATATCAGGCACAAATTCGTATAGTACATGCGATGGTAAGCCGTTAACAAATGATTCTTTAACAAGATCACACTCGATTCTTATAAGAGACAACGGCAGAATTCTGACTGGATTTTCGGATTCATGCCATTTGTTTGCATCTAATTTTATATTACGAAAACCAAGGACAGGTCCTAAGCTGTTTTTAACATTAAAGTTAAGTGTTTCAGAGCAATATATGGAACATTTTAAGGTATTATTATTGGGTTGAATTTTAATCTCACAATCTTTTAAATTTTTTTCTAAATATGCAAGTATATCATACAAATCGTAATTACCATATGGTATATGCAATATTTTACCGTCATTACCGTAAGAAAATATGTTATTATTTTCATCTATATTTCTTACTGTATTAAATACAGAAAAATATAGTAAACCACACTCATATTTGCCATCTATACTTAAAGATGGCTGAAAATATGATTCAAGGAATGATTGATTACCAGTGATGGTTAAAGTAATAGACATGGTTGAATACTAAAGGTAATAATGTATTTGGGTATTATTTATTCATTTTTTTAGTTTATTACGCCAAAAATTCTCAAGAAACTTTATACATAAATGACCGCAGTTATAAGGATGATCTTGTTGAATATTTTCGTAATTATAATATACTTTTTTTCCTAAGTATTGGATCAGCTCTTTTGGTGGTTTTAAATTTCCATAGCTATCAAAGTATTCTATATAATCTTGACATTTAACATAAGCTACCCAATGAGTTCCAGAATTTTCTGAGTGATCTAAATTAATAACACCACATTCTCTTTTAAGAGGACATTTTGGTAATTCATTTCTCATAAAAACACCTCGAAAATGTGGTATTTTAATCGCATATTTTAAAATATCGATGTTAGTAAGAGCTCTATTGGGTAGCCGATTTAGTTTTTTTTACAAGTTGTAAAAATTCCAAGACCACCGTTATGGGGTTTAACATGTAACCCTTTTCCAATTGAAAGAGATTCCATTTTTTCATTATGTCTTTTCAATTCTGATAAACGTTTCTTAGCAAGTTTGTAGTCATTTATAGCTTTAGCTATTGCAGCAGCTCCACCTGCTAAGCTTCCTGTTGCTGACAACCCCGCAAAAATAGGTATTAACGGAAGTATACCACCAGTTTTTGGTACAGGTATTATGCGCGGATGTTTTATAACAGAATTTGTAACAAAGTTCTTCGCAGCTGCCATTGCTAAATTAATTGCGGTTTTTTCACATTGAGGTTTGATTTTTTGTAAGTATTTTTTAGTATGGGAAACCACATGTTGAAACATTTTTTTTTTCAAACCTGAGCTTTGTCTCTTTTTTATCGATATGTTTTTTGCCTTTAAACCAGCTCCAATGCTAGCCTTAGCTAACATAGTATTTTTTACTAAGTTAGCTGCAACTTTTTCACATAGAGATGCATCCGAGGCAGTAGCACGCTTTTTCACCATTTTCATCAATTTAATATCTGCTTTCGCCGATCGCTTAAAAGATGAAAAAGTATGATAAGCAATATCGTGTTCTCTGCAATGTTCATCCAATTGGTTAATACCCTTATCTCCTCTGCTAAGTCTTTGAATTAATTTGGTTCCAGGACCCCCAATAATTATATCCAGGTAAATGAAGTTCAAACGGTAAGTGATTAATTAACCAATTTAGAAGACTGCATTCACTCATACTATGAAGGATACTAAATAAAATAAAGATGGATTTACTTTAAGTACTTTATTCATTTTTAACATTACAAAATTATCACTCATTACTCATTAAAACTCATTTGAAAGCTATCATAAAATATTAGAATTATGTATCCAGCTGTTTTCACTTGATGGTAGTCCTAACCATTTTACAAAAACTTTATTTCGATTTCTTTTCAAAACCTTCTCAACTAAATATATATTTGGATGTTTAGTTTTCTGTAGTTCGTAACTATAAAATGCGCCCAAAATCGGCTGACCTTTTGCATCTTCAATCAAGTATGTTACTGGATTTGTGGGTTGTATTTTTATGATCTTGAATACTTCTGTTGACCAATTTGGAGTATATCCTTTTTCAAATATTCCTTTGTATTTGCTTACACGTACAAAGTCTCCAACATCCATTTTTTGGGTATTATTATTTAGTTTTTCTTTAAATTTGTTAAAGTATCTTTGTTTTACATAATTTACATTATTTTTATTGACTTCTATAGGCTTTAATTCAATTGTTCTATGTTTGGTACGATTATATATTTGGATTAACTTATTAAGAGTACCATCTACCCATTTATAATTTCCTTTAAAACTAAATTCTTTATACATTTTTGTTTTCAAAGTTCTGATAAACCTTTCTGCGATTGAAGCCTTTTTTGAAGAGTAGGTAGAATAATGATTTATTGCATAGGTATTCATTAATTTTTGAAAACTTTTATTATAAAATTCTGTTCCAAAATCAGTTTGTAGGTTTTTAGGAATACGACCATTTCGCAAAATTTTTTTAAAAGCATCACAAACCTCATTTTTTCTTTTAGATTTAAGTGGACACGCCCAAGCAAATTTTGAAAATGTATCAATTACAACCATAATATATTTGAAACCTTGATTTTCATTGCACATTTTTTGCATATCGATCAAATCAGCTTGCCATAGGTCGTCGATATCTTTAGTAACAACACATCTCCGTGGAAAATTTTTTCTTGCGTTTCTATGTATTTCGTTTACTATGTCTCTTTTGCTCATTTTGAGAATATTTCAACTCAATTTTCGTTTCCAAATTTCTTATTTTATTGTTTATTTCAGTAATGAATTCTTCATTTCTGTTCTTAAAATTTTTTAAAAATTCTGATATAGACTTATCAACGTATTCTTTCGTAGCGCTATCGGTGGCATCTACTGGATTTTTTAGATGTTTGATTATTTTGTTTTGTGCATTGAAATTATCATCATCAGTGTATGTTAAAATACACTGCAAAGGAAGTAAATTAGTGGAAAATCTTTTTTTCTTAAAAATATGATGCCCAAATTTATCTACATTCATGTTGAAGCTGTTACTTTATACTGATTTACATATATAAGATATTTTTCTTTTTATTCCTTGATTATACCTGCTTCCTTCAATTCTTCAATAATAGAAATTATTTCATTATCATGGCTGGTGTTGCCTGCGTCTTTAGAAGCGATTAGCAATTTTAGTCTTTCAATTAACTCATTTGGATCATCCCAATAAATAAAATCAGTGTTACGAGCATATTTTTTTAAATTTGGTATACCAGAACCAAACTTTTGATTATTTTCTGGCTCAGTTTCATTAAATAAAGGTTTTATAATGTCACGATATTTTATACTTTTGTCACCTCTTATTTGTCCCTGCGGATTGTAATCTCGTCTATGAGCACATGTATTATACAACATATCCTTATATATTAGCTGATCTTTGTCTGTGACTAATGTTAAATTAGGTTTTTTTACAAAATAATAATTCTCTTAAACCGGATGACAGTTCATATTGCTTATTTTCAATATTTATCAAATTAGTTTTTTCATTATTGCTGGGATTAACTAGGGTGGATAATTTGACTTTTGAATTCCCCATGAATAAATCTCTACCTACGCTGCGTACGCCAAATGGTACATTTAAGCTGTCATAAATATCTGCAATTTCATTCTTTTTTAACGACCTCTCTAAAACTTTATTTATCATAGTTGGACTTTTAATAATATCATCATTTTTAGAAGTTTCAGACACATTTGGTGGATCCATTTCATCTAAACTAGCTGAAGTTTTATATAAATTTTCATGATCTGAACTTGCATTTCCTACATATTTAGAAGCATCCTCTTTTTGCGATATTGTATTTTGAATATGTTTATCAATTTTAAGGAGTGAATGCAACGGCTCAACAACAGGTCTTAAAATTTTGTTTACTGATAAATTAGTCAGTTCTTCATCTTTTTTCATATTTTTAATTTTCTTTTTTATCGAACAGACTGATTCAATCAAACGTGATTTTATGTCTTTTTCCATTTCACTATATTTAAAATTAAACGACTACTGTTTACAAATAAAAAAATGATACTAATCATGTTAAATTCAAGAAACATATTTATAGCTATTTAAAATTGAAAAGACATCAAATCCTTTTCTGTATCTTCCTTTGTCTACAGCACAATCCTTATTAATGATTACAAAACTAAACGGTTCTTTCCATACTTTTGAACAAAGATTTTTGAATTCAATCCAAGTTAAATCAGTATTTACGTGTTCGTCATATATGTGTTTTAGATTTATATCGTCTTGCTTGAATATTATCAAAAAGTTAGTGTTATCTCGCACTAGCTGTTTTGGAATCTTTGAATATGTTTGAGACAAATAAAAGCAGTCTACTTGTTTATGTCTCCCCATTGCAAAAAAATTACGAATATTACTTTGGTTATCACAAACTACATCATCAAAAATCATAATAGAATTATTCAAAACATCATTAGGATCTATAACTTCCTTTTCATTATTAAAAATAAAAAACTTTATTTCAGGAATCATTTTCATAACTTCATTTAAAAATTGATACTTCGGTTGAAATGCCGTTTTAGAATATAAGTACAAATTTTTAAATTTCAAACCATTTTCATGAAGCAGTAAGCTTAACATCACATTAGTTTTACCACAGTTAGACGGCCCGCATATTAAGCAGCGTATTGAATTAGGTAGTAGTATGCTATGTTTAACGAAATCCTTGTTTTCTAAAATCTGTACATTGTATATTTCTATTGAAAGTGGTTGCTTTATTAGCTTCATGGTATTGACTGATTACTTTTAAATAAAAATAGTCTTTTATATGTTATGATGTAATAAAAAGTAATTCATCTTTAAATTTCACTAATAATAATTTTAAATTTAAATTCATCAAAGCTTTTACGCATCAGCTGGGTATAATAAAAATAAAACAATATTCATATAGAATTTTATAATCTTTATTAATTTTCTACATTAACTTCTCAAACTCCTGTTTACATATAGTTCAAATAATATGTACCAATTATAATTTAACTATTTTACTTATTATTGTAAATAAGTGACAATCAGTATAATATGTTATCCCAATGCCCCCAAGGTAAAGTTTGTATATTGTCTGTTAAAATCTGTCTTTTGTCATCACTTCGATCAAGTACAGTTTTATAAACTTCTTGAGTATACAAAACATGTTTAAGTGACCGAATAACATTCATTTTTTGCTTGTAGCGTTTATCAGTCATCAAAGCTTTCTTGAATTTAGTCGTAGTAATTTTCTTTGTAATAGGTCTAGAAATACCTTTTGCTTTTTTTATTTGAGTATTAATACTGTTTATACAATACAATTTTGCTCTCAAACCAATGAATTCAGTTAGCACGTCACCACCTAATTCGTCTTTAAATAATCCAGGAATTTTGTTATTCATTTTAGAAATGCCATATATATTATTATTTGGAAAGTTACTTGTATCAAAATTTAAAGAATTTTCTTTTATGTCCGCATATATATCGTCTGTTTCTATCAAATAAAGTAAGCTATCAGTATCTGTATAGCAAAGTTTCGCACAGTCGTGATACTTCTCTTTAATATAGTCATAATGAAATTGGTATAAATGTTGCTTGGCGTATTCCAAAACAGTAAATCCAATGTAAATGGGTCTATCTAACAGAACTTTTTCATATTCCAATTGAATCGCAACAAAGTTTTCATCGAAGATTGATATGCTTTTAAAATTAGGTTTTGTCAATAATTTTGCGGCACCAATGCGTTTGTTAGATACGTTATTATTATCTTCCCAACGTGATACTAATCTTACATCGACTTGTTTTCTTCTGTTTTCAATTGTTTTCCCAAAAATTGAATTATTTAGTAATTTAAACAAATCTTTCTGAAAATTTGATTTAGATGCTTGACGTAGGCGAGTATTTAAATCAATGTAATTCTTTAAAAAAGGTTCTTGACGAAAACTTAGTACCCGATATATTTTTTTTAAGATCAAACCATGTTTTAAACATAATTTCAAATGAACGTAGTGAATAACGTATTTATTTTTATTATAAAGATTAGCAATTAATTTATATGTTTTACCACCTGGAGGTATTATTTTTTCTGGTGCAAATGGCAAATCACTATGAGCATTATGGAGGTGGTCTGGATAATCTAAGTCAACCTCTAAAATATAGCCATATTCCGACTCATCTGTTATATTTAATACATTAAAATTCGTTTTCTCATCTTCAGATAGTAAACGGAACTCAGAAATAGGCAGCTTTTTCATCATAGCAAATCCATATAAATTATTGGCATCAAGATAAATTAGGTATTTAGAAATTTCTGAGTTATCACAATTCGGTAGATACTTGTTATTAGCTTTAGCATATCGATGAGAACATTGCGATAACCCTCCACGAATACCTCTTTCTATTAACTGATATATTTCTAAATCACTTATTAAATCCAATCGAACGCCTGTATGCAGTAACATAGCATCCCAACTTAAGCTACGAGATGATACATAATGCGCGGGATCTAATTTGTAATATTCCAAGCATGTATTTCTAAAGTTTTCAAAAATGTCACATAATAATAGGACATCTGTTTTTAAATATAAATCTGTGTATTCACCAATTGTGTTTATATTAAAATTATCCCATACTTTTTGTGCTCGTGCATATTCGTCATAAGTTATATGTTTCATGGTTAAATTATTATAAAAACATTCTTTTGGTGGCAAAGATTTTTCTTCATATTTACACCAAGAATCTACGTAATCATAAGGAAATATACCTTTCTCTTTTAACAAGTTAAAGTCAATATGATTTCTGAATTCTTCTGAGAGATGAATGTGTTCATTTTCAGATAAATTTTTACTTAATTCATTCAAACTAGAACTTAAAAACTGAAAGGAATCTATAAATTTAATTTGAACGTTGCGAGAAGTGTGCTCGTTATAAATTATTTTACTTATTGTTAAATACTTTTCTTTTGTTTTAGGTATAACTTTTATGTCTCCCACATGGTGTGCTAATTCTTTGATAAAAAGATGGCTGTCATAACCACATAAATTATGAAATACGACTGGTATAAAAGAATATTCTCTTAACATGAGATTGCAGTGAGAATGTGCTGGACCCCGATATTCAGAAGTAATATGATCGTGGTCAGCAACTTTATCTCCCAGCAAAGGTTCATTACAGATGTGACAAGTTGTAGCATTTAAATAAGCATTTCTTTGTTTATCGGTTAGTGGATTCATTGGTTTATTAACAGATAATAGCTTATCAATATCTTTAACATCTTCAATTAAACGTTCTATAAAGATTTTAACACAATCCGGACCTCTATATGATACATATTTATTTAACTTAGAATCATGAGAGCAACAAATATAGTAACCAAAACAAGATGGCTCGTGTAACTGTAAATTAACCGTATTACATGTTTGTTCATTTTTATTACATTTCAACAATAAACTTTCAAAATCTGCATATATTATAAAATTTATTTTTATTTTCGCTCATATCTTTTAAACTGTAATATGCTATTTTCTTTCGGCAATATGGTTAATACTTTAGAACATTGGTGTGACATAAATTTCTTTTTCGACGAGAAATGTTGAAGACATGAATCACAGAAATGTAATTTGCCATTATGTTTTGAAATCTGTGGTCGCACAAGACGTGACAAATCTGTTATTAAGCAATAGTGACCCTTATTATATTTCTCAATGTATAATATATTGACATGGTGTACTTTTCTTGAATTACATATATAAAGCGGGCCAGTTACTTGGTTACAATTATCGAGACCATAAATGTTGAAACTTATATTAGAATTTTGCTTTTCAAAAGTTTTGAGATCATGTGTAGTAGGTGGAAAAGACATACCATCTATTTTGAACACATTACTATAATGAGGATAAGATCTAGTTCTACATACGTTATTTTTTGCTGGATATAATGCTGCAACTATACTCCATAAAAAACAGTGATCGTCTTCATTTTTAATATTAATACAACTCTTAGTATTTTTAATAGTCGCAGGGAGTTCTATATAACTACTTCCCTTCATAGGCGAGTATTTATTCACGTTTATTTCTAAATGACTAATTGTTCCAAAAGTCCAACCAGACTTGCAATGTTCGAATTCAGCCATTTTCATTTTCATAGAGTCTATTACTAAAGAAAACATTTCTTTCAGATCAGTATTTCGACATAGAATTTGAAATTTTGAATTAAATGACTTGAGTTGTTGTTGATCAGAACTTGGTAAATAAAATAGAGCAAAGAGTTCAAAATTAACTTTCACACATGTATGTTCAGTAATTGAGAGCTCAATGATCTTTAATATATCTTTTTCATTATCTTTAAGAAATGACTCGGGAGTAAAGTACTTTTCTATATTCTCAGGCTGTAATCTATATGTTATAATTCGATTTTTAAATGCAGAAGCAATGACTTTTATATTATCAAATTTTGTATTCAACAAGCAATTTGCCTTATGTATATTACTTCTCAAATGGTAATTATATTTATTTCTTAATGTATATAAATTACAGTATTTACAAAACTTAATGTCTTTGTCTTTTTCTTTATTACTGGTGTCGACAACTGTGAACAAGAAATAAAATACGAATATATAGAAAATACGAAACTTGAAATATTCATTTATTATAAAATAGTAAGTTTTAAAACGTAAATGAGTATAATATGACAAGATTAGTAGGATAGGTAAATGTACTTTATTAATATTAATACATTATATTAATAAAGTAAAACGTTAAATATATATTATTTACAATAAATGTGAATTTATGAAATTTGGCGAGCATTCCTTGAACTCCTTTCGGACTTCGCTTAAATATGCTGATAAATGTCGCCAGGACTCGGTATCAACATTTGTTCTATTTTTAAGAGCAACTATTGCATAACGCCATCTATTCATCGGAGATACGCGCTCGATTTCTTCGCATTTATATATTTTTATTTCGACAAAATGACTGCCAGGCTTATCA